TTAAACCCATTCTACCCCAGAAGAACGACTCTATTTTGTCTGGTGCTTTATTCAGCAGAGTGAAGACCTCTGTGGATTTATAACAAAAATTTAGACAAGCTGACAGTGAAGCACATGGAAATAATGACAGTAGAGCGAACAGCAAAGCTTTAAATCCCTGTAGTTTTTCATTGTTCTTCATTAATTTAACACATTAAAAATCCAAACCTGTATAGTTTGCAAAGCATTCGCCTGTGTATTTTTTTTCATGAACTCTGTAAACAGTCTGTGTTGGATTTGTTTTGTTTTTGTTTTGTTTCGTTTTGTTTTTTGAGGGGAGGGGCACTAACTCTGGCGATGCTCAGGTGTTATTCCTGGCTCAGCATTCAGGAATTAATCCTAGCAGGGGACTGTATAGGATACCAGGGATCGAAGCCTGGTCAGCCACATGCAAGGAAAGTCCTTACCCAATGTCCAATCACTCTGGCCCCTTTGTTGGTTTCCCAGGGTTTAGTCAGAGATACCAAGTCGAATACCCATCCAACTAGGTGTACTCTGGGAAATCCATCCTTATTTTTTCTAGCTGGTCTTCCTGATGACTCTATCAATTATTTATAGTTTAAAGACCCAATTTTCCAGTATACTGTGGTGGATTAGCTTCTTAAAGGAGGGCTTGCATTTTTCAAACTCACAGAGAATTCATAGAAATACAAAAAAGTTTATTGATACTCAAACTGTAATTGCTGGAGGAGTCAAACACATATGTCCTGTGGCTAGTGCTTTCTCTCTCTTTATGGAAAGTCAAAGTTTAAACATTTAATCAGATGTTTTTGGGGGGTGCAACAAACGATTTAGAAATTCAGTAGCTTTGGCTTCATAGGCAGATTTCTTTAAGCGCTATCTATACATGCCCTTATTTCTAGATCTGTGATATACTCAAATAAAAGCATCTTGCCTTTTGATAGGGAAGTAGTGGTATCTTTTGACTCTCATCGCTTTTTTGTTTGGGGGTCACACCTGGCTCTGCTCAGGGATCACTCCTGGCTCTATGGATCATTCTTGGCAGTGCTCTGAGTGCTAGAGATCAAACCCGGGTCAGCCACATGCAGAGCAACTAATTGCCTTACACACTGTACTATTTCTCAGCCCTCCTCACTCTTTTTGATGTTTTCAGTACTGCTCAACCTACCTTCTGACATATTCTTTCTTTAAAAGAGTTGATACTGATGCTGAAGAGATAGCAGAGTAGGGGCTGAAGTGACAGCACAGCGGGTAGGGTATTTGCCTTGCACTCGGCTAACCTGGGTTCGATTCCCAGCATCCCATATGATCCCCTGAGCACTGTCAGGGGTAATTCCTGAGTGCAGATCCAGGAGTGATCCCTGTGCATCACTAGGTTTGACCCCCCCCAAAAAAAAGAGAGAGAGAGAAAGAGAGATAGTACCATGGACAGGACAGTTGCCTTGCTCCTCATAGATCTGAGTTCAATCCCTGGTACCGCATATCACCAGAAGTGATCCCTGAGTGCAGAGCCAGGAGCAGGCCTTGAGTACCACTGGAATTGACTATATATCTAGACTGTATACCTCACTCTTAAGAATTCTGCCCTTGCCTCTTGGCCCTTCTCACTACTGTGGGGATTGCACCAGTAGCCTGGGCATAGCAGTCTGATATTCCTTGTTTCAATCCCTGGTTCCAGCACTTTCTAGCTGTAATTTCCAAAACAAGTACCCTAACTTCCTTATATAGATATATATACAGTCTCTTATGAAGTGTTTCTGAATCACTGCTGTGATGAGATATCACTAAGAGTTGGATTTTCAAATAGACTCTTAGCAATCTGACTTCAGACATCTTAAGTTTTTAAATTTTTAATTAATTTTTGGAGTTTTTTGGCGACCATGTCCAGCTGTGCTCAGGGATCCCTCCTGGTTCTATACGCAGAGATTTGCTCAGGGGTGCAACTGTGTGAGATACCGGGGGGTTGGACCTGGATCAGCAGTGTACAAGGCAAGCACCCTACCTCACTATATTATTACTCCAAGCCTCCAATGTTAGATAACGTTGGTTTGTCCTTTCTCTCTTGCTGCAGCGAGTTTAGGTTTATTGGGTTATACCCATCACAGTACTCCCATCCAGTGCTCTGGATTTTGTATTTATAAGTGAAATATTGCTTTTCTCCTTCCCTTATGTCCTTTGCATAGTTTACTTTAGAGTAGTGTCCTTTTTGTACAGACACAGGAAGACAGTTAATGCAATGCTTTTGTAACTTAGGTGTTAATTGACTCCAAATAATATTTACTCCTGGACATATTTACTCGACTTAAACCTCAGTTGCCCTTAGTTCCTAGCACCCAAAAAGCAGGGTCCCAGTGAAGGGACTGGATGGACCCAGGGCAAGCTGTGAGCTACCCTGGCATCAAAACAGGACAGGCCAAGCGCCATAGTACTTTACTAGAAGTTAAGAGCATGGTCATGGACCAACTCTGTCATGATCCAGAGAGAAACAACTGGACAAGGACCCTGCTAGTGTTAGGAAGAACTAATCTGGCCTGAGAAATGTAGTCAGAGATCTGTAACAAGATGTCCCCAGGAGTGCCGCCCTCTGAGCTTTTGTGTCCATACAAAATGACTAGAAAAATTATTAAGAAATAAGTCACTGTCACTGTCCTCCCGTTGTTCATCAATTTGCTCGTGCGGGCCCAGTAACATCTCCATTGTGACAATTGTTACTGTGTTTGGCGTATGGAATACATCACGGGGAGCTTGCCAGGCTTTGCTGTGAGGGCGAGATACTCTCAGTAGCTTGCCAGGCTCTCAGAGAGGGGCAGAGGAATCGAACTCGGGTTGACCATGTTGGCCGCTTGCAAGGCCAATGCCCTACCTGCTATGCTATCATTCCAACCTGAGAAATAAGTAAATCTAAAAGTATTGTTTATAAAGAAAAGAGAAGTTTGTCCTTAGATGAAATTTCACCTTTGAGCCAATCTTCCTGGAGGAGATCTTTGTCTTAGAAGAGCTTCCCCAGAAAGGAAGGGTTTTATATATGTTGATTGTGCTATCAGACCGAGGTGTCATTGCTCCCCCAGCCTTTGGAGATTCGGCTATAGACTAAGACTTGGAGACTGGACACGGAGAGAGAAGCTTGGGGGACAGGAGGAATACGGGAGTTCTTGAGACTGGAAGGAGGCTGAGGGAGACAAGATTGGAATAAACTGCAACTGAATCACCAACCTGCCTGGCGGCCCTGTTCCCTCCTCCATTCGTCTGTTGGCCATGTATGGGAAAGTGGCTCATGGCCACAGAATGCAAGTGGCGGGAGAGAGAGGCCACCATCCCTCATTTATTTTGTGACTACACACTCCAAATTCTACAAAGAAGGGTACAACTCCCTTAGAACAAGAAACATGATGTGTGAAAGACTCTATTAGGATTAGATTGGTGGGGTGAATATTTGCCCTTAGCACTCTTCATGCAATCTTGGGCAAGTTACTTCTTTGAATTTAAAATTTCTCACCAGTGAGATACGAATAGTCATTAGCCTCTTCATAAAGATTCACGAGATTTCTCTCTTTTAATGTGTATAAAGAAGTTCACACATATATTTGGCACCTTATGAGTATTTAGTAAATTGGAATTGTCACTAAAAATAAGTATTATTGTTCTTTCCATTTTATTTGGGGAAGGAGGGTGTTTGGGAATGCTCAGGAGTTACTCCTGGAGACGCTTCAGAGACCATTTGGGATGCTGGGGATAAAACCCGGGTTGGCCATGTGCAAGGCAAATACCTTACCCGCTGTACTATCTCTCTGATTTCTTGTTCTTGTCATTTTTAAGAAAGGAAACTAACACTTACCAGAAAGTTGTAGGGCTGGACTGCAATCCTGAGTTCCTTTTACTCACACCATTCAACTTTCTGCTCATTATCTGAGGGTGGTTTTCAGTAGGCTTCTAAACTGTCACTGTCACTGTCACTGGCCTCCCGTTGTTCATTGATTTGCTCGAGCGGGCCCAGTAACGTCTCCATTGGAGACTTTGTTGTTACTGTGTTTGGAATATCGAATACATCAAGGCTTCTAAACTATTCAGGAAAATATAATCTATTTTGGCAGTCTACTTCTAAGTAATTTAGCATGGGAAGTCAAGCCCCACTCCATCTAGAGTTGGCGTCTTCCCTAATTCCTCTGTCACAATTCCCACTGAGGCAAGCCCCAGAGCCTCTCTCAATACATTGTCTCACCTATGTAGCGAAGGGATTATAGTTCTGGAGTTGTAGTGAAGAAGAAATACTTGATGGCCTTAATATAGTAGTTAGAACATATGGCTGGTTTTCAGGCTTTGATTACTAGTGCCACAAACATTTCTGTTGTGAAGCTGTCATGTTAACCAGAAACTATTTTTAAACATTACTCAACAGTTACCCAGAGTATCTCACCCGCACGGCAAAGCCTGGCAAGCTCCCCATGATGTATTTGATATGCCAAACACAGTAACAAGTCTCACAGTGGAGACCTTACTGGACCTGCTTGAGAAAATCGATGAACAGCGGGAGGACAGTGCTGCTGTGCTACAGTGGTACTCAACAGTTGAATACTATGGTGAACACTTTAGACAACTGAATCAATAATTAGTTTCAGCACAGAAATGTACACTTAATTATTGTGTCAATTTTTCTTTGTGGATATCATGGATATCCTGGTAATGGAAATATGAAACCTCACACTTGAAACCTAACATGATAATGGAAACAAATGTTAGGAATTTTGATTGTTCTAAAAACTTATGGTATTATGTTATCTTATCTATGAAAATGGTATCTGAAAACAGAAGGTGGCTGGAAGGAAGTTTAAGGGAGATAAACCCACACTGAAGGAAAACTGAGGGATTTCCTGATTGTAGCCCATGCTAGTCATGATCGAATAGTAATCCCTCAGTGACTCTTAAATAAATTTTGGATAGGAGTTAGAATATGAACCATAAGATTAAGAGTAAGAAACCATGGAGTTCTTTTATTTTTTCAGGTTGAAAATTATGCACACCATGTTTGGAACTTAACAGAGGAAAGAGGAACATTTTCTCATGGTTACGAAAAGGAAAACAAGCATCTTCGACATGAGTTTAAAGACCTCCAACTTAAACAGGGTAATGTTTCATCTTATGAGAAATGTGACTTCTAATTATTTTTTAATTTGAAGAATAAGTATGTGGAAGTTACTGAAAAATTGGGAAATGTGTAAAAGTAGAAGGGGTTAATATTAATATATCTCCTCGTCCCTAGAAAAGTACATGTTAATGTTGTCGGTGTATTTTATGCCTATGGTCTGCATTCTGAACTTCAATCTGAAAGAGTACAGAATGGTTATCAGTTTCCATGTCTGTTACAACACTTAGCTCACTGTCTCAGTGAGATCATGTCCGGGTCTTTTGTGGCTTCTGTCTTCTGCACCTCCTAACCTCATAGAGTATATAGTATATTAAGGACTTGGGAAATATTTTCTTAATATTTTGAAAAAGAGAAGGTTGCATTCAGTTTTTGCTTATATGATGGCTGGATTTTAAGCATATTATTCCATTTCTTTAAGACTTTAGTTCTCTTAGCAAAAAAGTCCATTTAGGACTCTAATCTGCCATATTGTCAAAAACAGAGAGTGTCACTTGTCTTGTTGCTAACTAAATTCGCTTATGAAGAAATTGGTACCTTGGGGGATGATGTCATTCCAAGGGAGAGTCTCATATACGGCTTTCCCAGCATGTTAATGATTTGACTGTCATCAAGCCTTGTAGTTTGCTCTTGAAATCCATTTGTCCTAAGTTCTTCCTTTGGACTCTGTTTAGCCACATGTTTTGCCTTGGAACTAGTTACTGCAAAGATACTCCTAATTTTTATGCATTTTGCCTTTATTTTCATAACTTGGAAGACTCAATGCCTTCTCTAGCTCACCTTTACAGGAAGCCTGATTTTCTGTTTGGTTTGGGGTTAGGGACTATACCTAGCAGGGCTCAGAGGTCGCTCAAGAGGTCCTTGGGGGACCATGTGGTGCCTGGGGGTCACACTCAAGATGCCAACATGCAGGGTATGTGCTTATTCCATAGAGATCTCTCTGCCATCCAAGCCTGATTGATTAAAGGATCAAATCTAGGAGCCATAGAGACCCAATACAAAGGTCAAGGAGCTTGCCTAGCATGCGCCTGCTGCCATGGCTTTGGTTCAAATCTTGGCGCTGCATACCATCTTCAGAGCACCACCAGGCACGACCCTTGAGACCACTGGCTGTGGTCTCCCCCAAAGAAAAAAGATAAAGCTCAATATTTACTGCCATTCTTTGTGGGATGCAAGAGGAATAGAGCCATACCCAGCAGTATTCAGGGGCTATTCATGCCTCTATATTCAGGAGTGACCCCTATGTGACCCCAGCAGTGCTCAGGGCACCCTATATGCTGCTGGAGATTCAAACCAGGGTCAGAGTCAAGCCATATGCAAAGTAAGTGCTCTAATCTTTGTGCTATCTGTCCAGCACTTCATCATTTTTTAAAATAGGAATTAGACACTTCTCTTTAAATGTACTGGTGTAATGATTAGGATGGCATCTCTCTTTTCAGTGAAATAAGAGGTAGCATTATCAGCTGAAAAGTGACGATGAGGAAGGAAGTGTTGAAAATTAGAGGGGAAAGAGGAATGAAATTGTGATTCAGAACTCTAAGGGGGGCGGGGGATGAGCAGGAAGATGTTGGCAGATTTCTGGGCAGCCTAAGGACTCCCTAAGATTAATAGACATGAATTTAAAGTTAAACCAGTCCCTACCAGTTGTGCAGTTTTCTCCAGCCCCAGCTTCTGGATTGAGGGCCAGAAGAGGCAGAGAGTTCCACTGTCGTCTCTCCCATCCAAGAAATTTATTTGAAAGAAAATCAAATCCAGGGACCAGATAGTACAACGGCTGGGTTTTTTCCCAGAATGAGGCTGAGATTGGAGTTATTCTAGCTAAGCATAATGGAAGAAAAGAGTGGCCAGAGTAGTGGTTGTTTTCAAAGAAGAGATCAAAATGATGGAATATAGAATCTAAGCTGAATACGAAAGTAAATAAGGGACCAAAGAAGTAGTAAGGTGGGTGAGTGCTTCTATTCACAATAGCCAGAGTCTGGAAACAACCTACATGCCCACAAACAGACGTATGAATAAAAGAAACTATGGCAATCTATACAGTGGAATACTACACAGCTGTTGGGATAAACAAGGTCATGAAATTTGCCTATCAAATTTGGCTTCCTCATCTTGTAGAAGATAATCCTGGTGTCTATTTATTGTATTTTAAAGACAAATGGGATGAGCTTATCTCAGATGCGTAGTATACAATACTTCCTAGATACATAGGAAGCAGTTAATAAAGCAATAGCACTTTTGTTTGTTTGTTTGTTTGTTTGTTTTCGGAATCACACCCAGCAGTGGTCAGGACTGTTTCTGGCTCTGTGCTTGGGGATTGCTCCTGGTGGTGCACAGAGGACCATATATGATGCCTGGAGGTGAATTCAGGTCACCCACATACAAGGCTACTGCCTTGCCTACTATACTATCCCTCTGGCAGAAACAGCACACTTTCTTTATTTTTGATTTATTTGGACGCCAAACCCAGTGATGCTCAGGGGTTACTTCTGGCTCTGCACTGAGGAATCACTCCTGGACATGCTCTGGGGACCAGATGGGATGCCAGGGATTGAATTCAAGTCAGTTGTATGCTAAGCAAGCACCCTACCCACTACGCTATCTCTCTGGCTCCCCGTTTCCAAAACTTAGCAAGCCCTCTGTCAAGATAGGAAGACGAGTGGTAACAATAACATGGCTTATATTTTTTAAAAAATTACTTGCTGCCTATTTAAGAATTAGTTGAACATAAAAATGGTGGTTTACCTGTATTTATTTTTCAAAAATTTTGTTTCTTTTATTTAATCTCAACAGAAGCACAAATAAAAGAGGTTGAAAAAATGTTATGTCAAAAAGGTTTATCTGTGAAGTCATGAAATTTGCATATAAGTAGATCAACATAGAAAGTATCATGTTAAGTGAACTGAGTCAGAAAGAGAGGGATAGGCATAGAAAGATTGCATTCATCTGTGGAATATAAAGTAACAGAATGGGAGATTAACTCCCAGGGGTAGTAGAGATAAGGACCAGGAGGTCTGCACCATGACTTGAAAACCGGCTTTACATGTTGGGGGAAAAGGCAGCTCAGATAGAGGAAGGGAACACCAAGTAAAGGATGTTGGGAGGACCCATTCAGGTTGAAAGATGTGTGCCGAAACTAGACTATAGACCGAACATAATGGTCACACAATATCTCTATTTCAAACTACAACACCCAAACGGAGAGAGAACCAAAGGGAATGCCCTGCCACGGAGGCAGGGGGTGGGGGGTGGGAAGGATATTGGGAACATTGGTGGAGGAGAATGGGCACTGGTGGAGGGATGGGTAAAAGATTATTATATGACTGAAATATGGAAGTTCTTCAATTTGTAACTGTACCTCATGGTGATTCACTAATAAAAAATTTAAAAGAAAAGAAAGGTTAATCTGAAGTAGCGGTGGGATGTCCAGGTGACCAGATCATATACTTACTAACACAAAGAAGTACACTCAAGAAAGCTAGAATTTAGACATCCCAAGTTAGACTCACAAAGATGTATAATCAGAAAAAAAAATTTTCAAATTGACAAGATAATTGAACAGAGGAAGGCCTGTTCAAAAATGTGTTATTTCCTTACTTAGTCGTCATTTATTTAAAATATTGAGAAATGGTAACAGAGAGATAGTACGGATGGTAAGGTGCTGGCCTTGTACCCAGGTCCCCCCAGTTTGATCCTTTGATCCCTGCCACCACACTGGTGCCCTGAGAATCACCAGAAATAAGATCTGACACTTCCAGGTGGCCCCAAGCCCTTCTCAAATAAATAAATATCAGATTTCTTGCTTTGCACACACAACATGGTAGTGATGATTTAAAAAATTAAAAAGTTACAAGCTTTTGGGTTGAAGGCATAGCTGAGGACTGCTGGGAGTGGCCACAGCCTCCCTAAGCACTGCCTGAAGATTCCCACTGCCACCACCTCCACCACCGTTAAAGGTAAAGGCCCTCCCGTTGATCGTCGATTTGCTCGAGCGGGCCCAGTAACGTCTCCATTGGAGACTTTGTTGTTACTGTGTCTGGCATATCGAATACTCTCGGTGGCTTGCCGGGCTCTCCGAGAGGGGCAGAGGAATCGAACTCGGGTCGGCCATGTTGGCCGCGTGTAAGGCGAACGCCCTACCCGCTGTGCTATCGCTCCAGCCCGTTAAAATAACACAAACTTTGGATTTCAAGGGACTTCCTCTGCCACCCATTAGTAGAATTGCACAAGATAGTTCTTTTGGGAGCCTCAGTTTTCTTACCTATAAACTAAACATTTCACTAACTGAGCAGGAAGATGCTCTGGCACAGATAAAGTTCTTGAATAGCATTCATTCCAGTCTCCAACATCAGGGTTCCAGGTTCATTGGAGAAAAGAAGCCTTGCAGAAAAGAATCACAGGAGACAAATAGTGCAGTAAAATAGTTTTTCTTCAGGAATATTAGTGTTTACAGGAAAACAATGAGGTAGCAGGAGAGGGAGAGTTTTGCATTCAAGAAGGAACACAGGCTTCCCCGGAGAGGAGAGAGCCAAGAGCACCCCATATAGTAACAGACAGGAACAACACATTCCAAGTTGAGTTGCAGGAGACCCCAGGATGAAAAAGTATGTGGTTGGCCTTTGCAAAATTGGTTTTATAGGGTTTTTCTCAAACTGCCCCACATGGGGTTTTCTATCCAGGTAAAAAGCTGTTGCAAGGGGTTGGGCTTTGGATTTTTAGTTGTTCCCTCAAGCTCATATCACAGTCTTTTATTCCTCTGGAAGTTTCTCCTTTCAACCATTCTTTGGGCTGTGCCCAGAGAGTCTTATCAAGCCTGTTTGCTCTTGGGGCTAGAGACAGTGCAACCTCTTTCCTAATTCCCAGGAAACTCAAGAAACTCATAGCTGGACCCCCAATCTACCTACCTGCTTCAGTACCTCACACATTAATGTTGTTAGTATTTGTTGAGAATTTTTATGTCACTCCTTGTGCCAGTGGACATAGA